TCTAACTCCCCTACCCCCTCTGAAACCTCCTTCTTCCGCAATCCCCTTCTGTTTACCTCTAATTCTTTCAATTATACCCCACCGTACATTTTCCTGGTTAATCAGTAAGCTTTTTCCTCTATAATTTTTTACGTTCTTTTGTCCCCTTTCCCTTTTATAAAGGGGGCTATACTGCTCTCGCCCAAACCCTGGTCCTTCCCTTTTCAACATTTATTAAACAAAAGTACAACCACTCAACCCCTTATCCCCCCCGTTTTAACATTTTGTCATTTTTCCCATCAGTTCCAGCTGCTTTACCCCTTTCTTTTTGTAATACCTCAGACCTCCCCCCTACTTCATTTGCTTTCTTCACTCCCAAAAAGTGGTAAAACCTCCCTGACCAGGATGAAATTACTCCTCTGTTTCTTCCTTAAATTTAAAAAATTCCTCAAAATATTTCCCATCTACCTAATACTCCATTCCCCCCTCTCTAACTCCCCCTCTCTGTTTTAACTGAAAACCATATTTCCCTGGCTTTTTAACTTGTTTAATCCTCCAAAATTTTTTCCTTTTTTTCATTAAATTTTTTTGACAGTCCCCCTCCCACTCTATCATTGCTTCCTTTTGCATCTCTCCACTCTCTTTCCCTTTTTTTTACTCTCCAAAATCTGCTTTCTTATAACACTTTGCTTTGTAAAAAAACCCCTATAAGTCCTTTTTCTTTTTTTCAACCCATTTTCTTCATTTATTCCACCAATCACTCCTCTTTTTCCCCTGCCCCACCCTCCTTAAACCCCAAACTTCTGCCCCCCCATTCTTTTACTGCTTTTTTAAAAAATATTCCAACCCTCTTCAACCCCCCCACTATCATCTTTTCCCGCCCACCCTTTCTGCCAATAGTCGCTTTATTCACCCGAACTTCCTCCCCCTTTTGTTTTACACTTTCCTCCCTTTATTGTTGTTGCACCTTCTCTTTTCCCATCTACCTCTTACTTAATGTGCTAAATAAATAATGATCCGATTATATTTGCCCCTCTATAAAAATGTACACCTGGAGCCTACCCATCAACCTTTTATCCCCAATAATAATCTAAAAAAAACTCTTTCATTGTGTAATTTACCTTGATATTTTTTTTTCATCTTTTTCAAAAAAATTGTATTACTTATTACCAAATTTTTTCTACACATGAATTAAAGGCTCCCCATTTACTTTCCCCCTGGCCCCCCAAAAAATTTACCTACTACCCCCTCCATAACTTTTTTTCCCCATTTTAGCTTTAAAAATCCCCAACCCCCTTTTCTCTACATTTGATTCAAAATCCCCACGCATTCACTCAATTTTTCCCAAAATTCTCTCTCTTCCTTCATTTCTTCTTCTCCAGGTGATACACGCTTTTTAAAACCCATTTTTCACATCCTTTATTTTACCCCAAAAAACCCTTAAATTAATACTTTATAGTCCTCTTTTTGCCATAGTTATCTTAAAACTTTATTGCTCTCCTTCTTTGCTCTAACTTTTTTGAAACCCCTACCTAATCCATTTTTTCCCCTCTCCATGAAACTCTCCCCCCCCCTTCAGATGTTTCACTTAAAGCAGGACATCCGCTTTTTCCCTTTTTAAAAAACATCCCATCACTGTTTCTTATCATTCCCCCAAAAAAAAACGAACATTTAGACTTCCCTTTTTGACATTTTCTTTCTTTTTTTTTTTTGTACCCCTTTAAAGGGAAAAAGGGGTTACTAGCCCATTTTCCCCGGCATTTTAGAGTTTTCAACCCATGGTTGGAGGAAAGATTTTTATTTCCCATTTCCCCAATGGTTAAAAAGGAAAAAATTTAAATAAGCCCAAGAAATTAAGTAAAAAAAGGAAAACTTGATTTATAAAAAAAGGAATTTGGATTTCCTATGAAAAAATTCAGCTCTTAAATTTAATTTATTAAGAAAAAATTAATTTTTATTAAAAAATTTTTTTTTTTTTTTTAATTTAATTTTTATATTAAATTATTTTTTTTTTTATTATTTTATTTATTTAAAAAATTTTTTTTTTTTTTAAAAATTTTATTATAATTTTATATATTTTAATTAAATATATATTTTTATTATTTTTTTAAATTTTTTTTTATTTTTTTATTTATATATTTTAATTTTTATATATTTTTATAATTATTTTATTTTTTATTTAAATTTAAAATATTTATTAATTTTTTATTTTAAAATTTTTTTTATTTTTAATATATATTTTTATTTAATTTTATATTATATATTTTATATATATTTTTATTTATTTTTAAAATATATTATATTATATTTAATTAAAATTTTTATATATTTTATATATTATATATTTATATTTATATATAATATTATTAATATATATTTATTTATATATATATTTATATTTTTTTTATAATTATATATTTTATTTATATTATATTTTTTATATTTATATATTTTATATTTTAATATAATTTATTAATATATATATATATATATTATATATTTATATATTTTTTTTAATATT